GTGCTGACATGACAATCAAAGGGAATTTCCGCTCACTGAACATTTCAGATGCTTGATCAGTCAGTATATACAATGCAAATACAGGCATACCTTGGAAATATTGCGAGTTCAGTTCCAGCCTACCACAATAAAGCAAATATAGCAATAAAGCAAATCACACAAATCTTTTGGTTTTCCAGTGCATATAAAAGTTGTTTATATTAAATTATAGTTTATTAAGTGTACAATGGCATTATGTCTGAAAAAAACAACGTAGGTATGTAAGGTACCATACACCAAGGTATGTAAGGTTCATACCTTAATTTAAAAATGCTTTACATTTTTAGTAAAAATGCTTTACTAAAAAATGCTAGTGATCATCTGAATGAGTTGTAATCTTTTTGCTTTACTGCTAAAAAATGCTAATGATCACCTTCAGAAAGTTGTAATCTTTTTTGCTAGTGGATGGTCTTGCTTTGATGTTGAAAGCCGCTGACTGATCAGGGTGACTGTCATAATTTCTTAAAATAAGACAATGAAATTTGCTGCAATGACTGACTCTTCCTTTCACAAAAGATTCCTCTGTAACCTGCGATGCTGTTTGATAGTATTTTACCCACAACAGAACTTCTTTCAAAATTAGAGTCATGCTCTCAAAACCCTGCCACTGCTTTATCAAGTAAGTTTATGTAATATCTAAAATCTTTTGTTGTCATTTCAACACTCTTCACAATATCTTCACCAGGAGCAAATCCCCTCCAGAAACTACTTTCTTTACCCATCCAAAAGAAGCAACTCCGCATGCATTCAAGTTTTACAATATTGTAGCAATTCAGTCACATCTTCAGGATCCACTTCTAATTCTGGTTCTCTTGTTATTTCCACCACATCTGCAGTTACTTCCTCCACTAAACTCTTGAACCCCTCTTAAAGTCATCCATAAGGGTTGGAATCAACTTCTTCCAAATTCCCTTTAATATTAATATTTGGACCTCGTCCCATGAATCACAAATGTTCATAAAGGAATCTAGAATGGTGAATCCTTTCCAGAAGGTTTTTAATTTATTTGCTCAGATCCAACAAAGGAATCACTACCTATGGCAGCTATAGCCTTACAAAATGCGTTTGTTAAACAATAACACTTAAAAGTTGAAATTACTCATTAATCCATGGGCTGCAGAATAGATGGTATGTTAGCAGCCATGAAAACAACTTTACTCTCTTTGCACATCTCCATCAGAGCTGTTAGGTGACTAGGTACATAGTCCATGAGCAGTAATATTTTCAAAGAAACCTTTTTTTCTGAGGAGATATGGATAGTGGGCTGAAAATATTCATTAAACCATGCTGTAAACAAATGTGCTGTCTGTTGTTCCATTTACAGAGCACAAGCAGACTAGATTTAGCACAATTCTTAAGGCCCCTAGAATTTTCAGAATGGTACATGAGCACTGGCTTCAACTTAAAGTCACCAGCTGCATCAGCCCCTAACAAGAGAGTCAGCCTCTCCTTGGAAGTGAGGCATTATCTCCTCCTCTATAGCTATGAAAGTCCTAGATGGCATCTTCTTCCAATAGAAGGCTGTTTTATCTACACTAAAAATTAGTGTAGCCATCTTCATCAATGATCTTGGCTACATCTTTTGTTTTTATTTTTATTTTTATTTTTTCCTTTGGGAAGTAAACAGCGAAGGAATTTTTTTTTTTTTTTGGCTACATCTTTTGGATAACTTGCTCCAGCTTCTATACCGGTACTTGCTACTTTATCTTGCACTTCTATGTTATGAGGATGGCTTCTTTCCTCAAACCTTATGAATCAACTTCTGCCAAGCTCCAAACTTTTCTTTTGCAGCTTTTCATCTCTCTCAGCCTTCACAGAATTGATATGATGATAAAATAAATGATAATATAATATAAAATATGATATATGATAATATGATAAAAGGAAAAAAAGGGAATATTATGGATGGTTTGATCTATCCAGACCACTAAAACTTTGCCCTATCAACAATAAGGTTGTTTTGCTTTCTTATCATTTGTGTGTTCAATAGAACAGCATTTTTAATTTCCTTCAAGAACTTTTACTTTGCATTCACATCTTGGCTAAATGTATGGTGCAAAAGATCTAGCTTTCAGCCTGTCTTGGCTTTCAACATGTTTTCTTCACTATGCTTACTCATTTCTAACTTTTGATTTAAAGTGAGAGATGTGCAACTCTTTCTTTCATTTGAACACTTAAAGGTCACTGTAGGGTTAACTTGCCTGATTTAAACGTTGTGGTATTTCAGGAAATAGGAAGCTGAGGAGAGGAGAAAGGGGTTCCTTCCTGTTTGGCTAGTTAGTGGACCATTCAGAACAGATATTTATCTTCAACTAAGTTTGCCATTTTATATGGGTGCCATTTATGATGCCCCAAAAATATTATTTATTTTTGAGACAGGCCTCGTCCATCATCCAGGTCATCACAGCTCATGCAGCTCCTGTTCCCACCTCAGCCTCCCGAGCAGCTGGGACCAGTGGTCCCAACCTTGTTGGCACCAGGATAATTTTTCCGCCTGGCAGAGCTCAGGCGGTGATGCAAGCATTGGGAGCTACTGTAAATGTAAATGTAGATGAAGCTTAGCTCAACCCATCACCTGCTTGTACAGCCTCCTCCCCCTTCCTATCCTAAATTCCATGGAAGACAATTTTTCCATGGATGCAGGTGGGGGAGGGGAAATGGAGGACGGGGACATGAGGACACTCTATGCCCTGGTTCCTACAGACTGCGGACCGGGAGTTGGGGACTGCAGGCTGGAACTATAGCATGCACCACACAACGTCCAGCTACTTTTCTATATATTTCATAGAAGATCCCATCTCCACAAAGTAAAAAAGAATAATTAGCGGGCACGGTAGCGCACACCTGTAGTCTCAGCTCTAGGGAGGCTGAGGGGAGGACAGCTTAAATCTAAGAGTTCAAGGCTGCAGTGAGCTATAATGACACTGTTGCACTCCAGCTTGGCAACAGAATGGGGCCCATTTCTGAAGAAAAAACTATATATGTGCATACATATTTACAGTAACATCAAAGACCACTAATCACAAATTATCATACAAATACAACAGAAATTCTGAAATATTGTGAGAATTACCAAAATGTGATAGTCAAGAAGTGAGCATGCTGCTAAAAAACAGCACCAGCTTGCCAAAATATTAATTTTTAATAAAAAAAAAAGGAAAACAACCACAGTATCTACCAAAGTGCAATAAATTGAAGACACATAAAATCGAAGGTCCACCTGTATTCCAAAATCTGAAACATTTTTGGTACCAAGCTTTTCAAATAAGAGACAGTCAACCTGTATTGCCTGTCCTACAATTCAGAAACTGCATAGTGAATTTGAAAGCTTCTTGCTCCAGAACACTGAACACACACATAAAAATCCAAATCACATCTAGAATCCTATCAGCAGAAATAGTAAAATTAGGAAAAGAACAAACTCCAACTCACTTCTACCTTCCAAATCTCACATAAGTATATCTATTGCAGAAACAAAGTAACATTAAGAACCCTGGCTACAAATGAATCTGAATATTAATATGTTCTTGTTGAGTTTTAAAGTTTTTATATACCAGAAGGTGGTCATGAATGATGCCAGCCACCCTTGGTAACGTAACATCAAATTCTAGTTTCTATGCCAATAGATATATTACAATAGAAGAGTACAGAATGCAGCTTAAGAAGTTAAGGGAATGAAATTGCTCAAAGGATATAAAGAAATCAGAATTCAAGATGTAGAGGTAAGTGGGTTGGGAAAGAATAGAGCAGATAGAACTGAATTAATAAAACTGTAATGTCTAAGAACAGTATGACCAAGGACTTAAGGGTCACTAAGTCCTTATTTTATTTTTAAATACTAACTTATAAATGAAATACACTATGGGGAATAATAAATGTCATTTTATATATCGAATAATGATTTTTTTAGACTTAATTCCCAACCCCAAGAGCTAATAGTAACAAAATGAAACTAAAATACGTTGGGATAGAAAACTGCAGAAGTATAATCCTTTATTTTTTAAAGAATGTCACAATGAACATGCTCTTGATTTTTTTTTTTTTTTTAAAAAAAAAAACACCAACAGCTACCACCATCAGATATCATAGGTGACCAGTCCACTAGGGTCTTTTTTAACTCTTATTGCAATATTAATCCAAGTAAATTAACTAACTCAAATTCTAAATTAACATCCAGTCTTTCAAATATTAAGCTTCCATCAAATGCATACATGAATTCCTTTTTTAAACTTAAAAATAAAACATTTTAAATATTAGAAAAAGGTTTTAGACAATAGATGTTTATTCTGTAAGTTTACTGTTCAGTCAGATAAGACACAGGATCACCCCCACCCCTACCCTAAAATTTAAAAAACTAACAAAAATGTCAGTGATTCCATTTGTTGAAAAAAAACAAAACACAAAGACTTAATGGACACTGTGTGCCATATCTGCTTCTCCTTCCTCAATACATGAAAAGCTATACTTTCCAGCCCTGTGGCAGTTTGGTGGGGTTGTATAACTAGATCTGGTCCACAAAATGTGAAATATGAGCATAAGTAATATAGGTCACTTCTGAGCCAAGGCCAAAATCAGCACTGCTTGCAGCTCCTTGCGTTTCCCTCTTCCTCAGTGACCTTGGGAACCATGCACAAAAATGGGTGGCATTACAAGACAAGGAAGGCTGGATCCGTGAGTCACCAAAGAGAAAAATCTTACAAATCCATTTAAAACCTTGTTAACCTGAAAAGTTAGTTAGGTTAAGCCACTGAGATTTGAGAGTTTATTTGTAACCACAGTACAGTATATACATTAATAATAAAGAAGTCTATAAAAAAATTTCCCTAATTCTGGAAAATAGTTAAGGGCTAACTTTTTATATAAATAAATATATTTATTTTAGAAGTATCTGACACATATACATACATACATATAGATGTGTGAATAAAAGAAAGTCTTGATAATAAGAATATTCAACTTACAGTGTGAGCACATTTCCAAAGGATAACTTGCCTCATTTCCCTGGGAGGGGAAAAAAAACCAGTTAGTCACAAAATAGACACAACTTTCTTTAAAATATTAAACATTTAAGTCACAAAACACAGGGAAATAAGCCATAAATATGTCTAAATCTATAAATTAATTTGCATTTTTAAAAACTGGTAATAAAATTTATACAATATGGTAGAAAGAACTCTTAAACGGGTCGATTGTGGCTCTGACACTTAGGACTTCTGCAAAAATTTAATTAAAATAATTTTAAGTATTTTTAATACCCTAAACACTTTATATGTCAAATTTTAACACACTTGGGACTGCCAATGCTCTAACTTCTTATGCTGGTGAATTCATTTTGGGGTAGAGCTCAAAATAAACTTTCCCTTGGTGTCTTTATTTAACTGAAGAGTTTCCTGAGACTGCAAAGTGAGCTGTTAAAAAGGAAAAAACAAAAACCTGTTACCATTTTTACCTGCATAAAACAGAATTTCCTGTATACTATGCAACTAAAATAAGAAAAATATTAGGCCTGGCTCAGTGGCTCTCCCCTGTAACCCTAGCACTCGGGAGGCCAAGGTGGGCGGATTGCTCAAGGTCAGGAGTTCGAAAACAGCCTGAGCAAAAGCAAGACCCCGTCTTTACTATAAATAAAAAGAAATTAATTGGCCAACCAGTATACATATAAAAAATTAGCCGGGCATGGTGGCACATGCTGTAGTCCCAGTTACTCGGGAGGCTGAGGCAGTAGGATTGCTTGAGCCCAGGAGTTTGACATTGCTGTGAGCTAGGCTGATGCCATGGCACTCACTCTAGTCTGAGTAACAAAGTGAGACTCTGTCTCAAAAAAAAAAAGAAAAATATTAACGTGAAGGTGAGTCCAATATAAAACAGCCAGTCACTTGAAACCCACCTCTACTTTTTTTCATGGAAAATCTTATCTCATGAATAGACTCCAATATAATTTGTCTGAACTCCTAGTGTTTTAAAAAAATTAAAACCAACTATCTATTGCCTATATACTAGGATTCTATGCAGAATGTTTTTAAGGAAAAAGGTTTTCTAGAAAAACTACAGACCTGGGCCAATGCCTACGTTTAACAACTCTAGAGGACTAGGCCCAGGGAGGTCAAGTATCTGGTGGAAGATCACGCCATTTGATTAGCAGTGGAATCAGAAGTAGTTCTAAATCTACAACAGTAAAAATTCCAAGTCTAACAGACTCACAGAGGTTGAATCATTAAGATCTTTAAAAGGGTCTATAGAATTTAAAGTAATGTAAATTAAGTTTTTAAAGTTCAGTAGTAAATTGAGACCCAAGCATCCTATATTCCATTTATCTACTCTTGACCCTGCCTAGCAATTAAATAGCAATAAGTATACAATTGCTATAAGTGTACAATTAACATTAGAATGTTTAAATATACTTATATATCCTAATAAGTTATTGAAAAAAATTTTAGTATGGCTGGCTGGTTTTTTTTTTTTTGAGACGCAGTTCCAACTCTCTTGCCCAGGCTAGAATGCTATGGCGTCAGCCTAGCTCACAGCAACCTCAAACTCCTAGGCTCAAGCGATTCTTCTGCCTCAGCCTCCGGAGTAGCTGGGACCCTAGGCATGTGCCACCATGTCCAGCTAATTTTTTCTATATATTCTTAGTTGGCCAATTAATTTCTTTCTATTTTTAGTTGAGACGGGGTCTCGCTTTTGCTCAGACTGGTTTTGAACTCCTGACCTTGAGTGATCCTCCCCCCTTGGCCTCCCAGAGTACTAGGATTACAGGCATGAGCTACTGGCCCAGCCTGGCTGGCTTGCTGGCTTTTAAACTAGCTAAAAGTATCTTTAATATATATAAACTTAAAGTCTAAGAAAAGTTTAATTCATCCTCAATTCTAGACAAGATACCAACAACTAATCTTTTCCTTGCAAGTTATAGTAGATAACAGCAATTTTCCCAAAGTGGTTCATTTAATATTAGGTCACTTTAAATATCAAATATATATTAAAGGATAAAAGAAAAGCAAACATTAATAAAGCTTAATATTTAATGAGATGTGGTTTTGCTTATTTTGAATGTTACCTTACTAATGTTAATATTTTTAAAGTTAAGTACATTGCTTGCAAGGCTCTCAAGAGTAAACTGGTATTTTATTGACTAAAATTTGCATTGTCATTACAAGTTTTTGGATTTTTTTTAAATGAGCAATGAATGTACTGTTCTATAAGTGAAGCTTAAAGCGTTATGTGGTAGAGATGTACTATCATCTCTACTCTACAGCACCCCCCCAACATTTTTACTCCTTATTCTGTATTGTTTGAACTTTTACAGCAAGAATATCTTCAAAATTTGCCTTCCATTTAAACAACAACAAATAACAAAGCAAAACCTAACAGTAGAAAGATGATTTTGTCAAGTCAATATAATTTTGTCCCACATTCAGTCTTCAATATGTTTTGTCATTTTTAAAAATAGGCCTTTCAGAGCTTCCCTTTTATCTCTCCACTCCCAGCTTCTTGAGCTACTACTGATGAGTATTGTATTAAATTTATCAGTAATCGTTTCATTCAGGTTTAGCCTGTGGGCTACAGTTTGTCAATCCCTGAATCTAAAGCACAATTATATATGTGTGTGTGTATGTACGTATATGTATATGTGAGTGTGTGTGTGTGTGTATATATATATATATATATATTTTTTTTTTTTCTTTTTGGAAACAGAATCTCACTCTGTTGCCCAGGCTAGAGTGCCCATGGCATCAGCCTAGCTCACAGCAACGTCAAACTCCTGGGCTCAAGCAATCTCCTCCTGCCTCGGGCTCTCAAGTAGCTGGGACTACAGGTGCATATCACCATGCCCGGCTAATTTTCTGTTTTTTTAGTAGAGATGGGGGTCTCACTTTTGCTCAGGCTGGTCTCAAACTCCTGGGCTCAACACATCCATCTGCCTCGGCCTCCCAGAGTGCTACAATTACAGGCATGAGCCACCGCACCCGACCTAGCACAATTATACTTAAGCAAGAATACACATCACTTTGCAAATTATTATATTAGACTTAACTACAAAAAACAGCACTTCTGAAGGTAAGTTAGTTCTGCAGTGAATTTTTAGCTGATAGCTCTAGTCCAAGGTTAAAAAATATTGAAATAATGATAAATACTGTGAAAGACACATCCAATAGTGTATTGACATTTACTGCTAAGAGAACCTTTCAACTAAACAAAACCATTAAGTCATATCTAAATATGAAAAAAGTTCTAAACATTTTTTTTGTTTGTCTTTTTTTTTTTTTTTGAGACAGAGTCTCACTCTGTTGCCAGGGCTAGAGTGCCATGGCGTCAGCCTAGCTCACAGCAACCTCAAACTCCCGGGCTCAAGCAATCCTCCAACCTCAGCCTCCCAAGTAGCTGGGACTATAGGCATGCACTACCATGCCTGGCTAATTTTTCTATATTTTAATTGGCCGATTAATTTCTTTCTATTTTTAATAGAGACGGGGTCTCGCTCTTGCTCAGGCTGGTCTCGAACTCCTGACCTGAAGCAATCCTCGCGCCTTGGCGGGAATGCTATAATCCCAGAGTGCTAGGATTATAGGCATGAGCCACCGCACCCAGCCTCTAAACATGTTTTAAACTCATATAACAGAGAACAGAAACAAAACTCCATGGCCTTGTTGAATTGAAAAGTCAAAGATACATGGAGTTCAGGAGGCCAAGGAGGTTAGATGTCTGGGGTCAAGAGTACCTTAGAAAGCAAAGGGCCCTTTGGAGATATGCAGAAAAGTCCCATCCAGTTTTTGTATAAGATTGAGAGGAAACTACCCAAAGCCAGAGAAAGAACTGGTAGCAGGATGAATAATTTTTGGAGTTTGCATAGAGCTAGGAATAGTTCATTATCCCATGAGCCAAAAGAAAGAAATCTTTAAATACACAGGGAACTGGGTGGAGCCCTCAGAATGGATGTAATAGCAATGAATTAAAACTTGCTCTGGATCTACCTTAAGATAGATGAAAAGTTAAGCCTCACAAAGATCAAACTGATACGCAGTAACTTACGTATATGACAAATTCTAACACTCTTTACAGGAATAAAGCAAAAGCTGGCACAATAGCATAAAATTCACAACATACAATATCCAATAAAAAAAATAACAGGATGCTACAACATAGATGAACCTCAAAAAACATTATGCTATTTAAGTAAAAGAAACCACATATTGTATGATTCAATTTATATGAAATATTCTGATAAGGTAAATCCACAGAAATATTAATAGAATGCATATTGGTGGTTGTCAAGAGCGGGGGGAGGGAGTAGAGTGAACAACTGCTTCAAGGCTATGGAGTTCCCTTTGGGGATGATAAATATTAATATTTTGGAACCGTATAGAGGTGGAGGTTGCACAACATAAATGTACTAAACGCCACTGAACTAGTCACTTTAAAATGACTGTTACGTGAATTTCGCCTCAATAAAAAATCTTAATATATAAAGAAATAATGGCCAAAAATCTTCCAAATTTGATGAAAACTTTAAACCAAAAATCCAAGAAGCTCAATGAACCTCAAGCAGAAGAAATATGAAGAAACCCAAACCAAGGCGCATACTCAAATTGCTAATGATCTGTGGTACAGAATATCCTAAATATAATCAGAGAAAAAAAAAGATACACTACATACACATGACAAAATGACTACAGATTTCTTGTCAGAAACACAAAGGACAGAAAACAATGGAATCTGTTTGAAGTGTTTCTTTAAAAAACTATCAGTTTTTATACCCAGCAAAAATATCTGTCAAATATTAAAACAAAATGCTCCTTCAGGTAACCAAAATTGAAAGAATTAGGCTGCAACATATGTTCACTACAAAAAAAAGTCAAAGAAATCCCCAGGCAGAAGAAAAATGTTACCAGATAGAAAATTGGAGCTAGACCAAGAAATGAAGAACACCAGAAATGGTTAATACAAAATTTTTCTCATTTTTAAATGTCTTTAAAATATAATTATTTAAAATAAGCATAAAAACA